TATATACCAAAAACTACAAAAGTTTTATATATAATAGCTAAATATTTGTATATATTGCATCATAATTACATTCAAAATGCTTCATATTATCATCATAATATTAATGCCTCTTTAATTAATGCCTCCCGTATGATTTAAATTAGTGGTTGATTTTTTTTGGAGCATTCCAAACTTTTGGTGAATATCCATTGGTGTGCATGTTAGTTTTTATTTTGTAAAAGCAATAAGAGACTCAAGATGCTGTGTGATGTTCCTTCAGCTATAACTGTATTGTTTGAATAACACACATGCATACAGATGCATATCTGGGTAGATCCCTGTGACCCGAGATTGATAAGGCAAAAAATAATTGAATTTGGGGATTTTTTAATCTAATTCTTGGACTAGAACTGAGCCAGAGGGCAGCGTAGTGTGTGTGTGTGTGTGTGTGTGTGTGTGTGCGTGCACATTCAGGTGTGTGTACTCATTACTATTTACTCTGTGCTGCATTTGAGGAATGTTGCATGTGCGCTCTGGGGAATAAAAGTTCCTGAAGCCTAATTGAATCTACCAGCAGAATTATGGCCAAAATAAACACATACTCCAGTTGCTGCACCAAATAAGCACCTTTACATAGAAACAGAGAGAGAATAGCATGTCTCCCAGGCTACAGGATCCTATTACATCAGTGCATACAAGCACTGCAGCACACACACATGCACACACACATGGTCACACACATGGTCTCGCTTAAACCATTTCCCATAGTGGAGCAGGGAGTGACGTGTGCCGAATCCAGGATGGAATTCTGTTTCCAAAGCTCTGGAAGATTTTCTCCATGAGTTTGGGAAAATTTAGCACGCAACATAATCAAAAACCAACAACTTCACATTAAATGTACATACTTTCTGGATACAATTTGACTAGATTTTTATATTTCCCATAGAAAATCTTAGTTGGCATCACATTACTAACTGTTGATTGCAGTTGCTAACTTGTTGTAAAATATAAAAATTATTTTATAAATAAATAGATTTGCTAAGGTGCTGTTATATATATATATAGAGAGAGAGAAGTTTGGGATCTGTAAGATTTTTTGTTTTGTTTTTGAAAGAAGTCTCTTCTGATCACCAAGGCTGCATTTATTTGATCAAAAATACAGTAATATCAGTAATATTTTGAAATATTATTACAATTTAAAATAACTATTTTCTATTTGAATATATTGTAAAATGTAATTTATTCCTGTGATCAAAGCTGAATTTTCAGCATAATTACTCCACTCTTCAGTGTCACACGATCCTTCAGAAATCATTCTAATATTCTGATTTTCTACTCAAGAAACATTTCTGATTATTATCAATGTTGAAAACAGGACGCTTCATATTCAGCATTAATTTGAAACAGAAATCTTTTGCAAGATTATAAATGTCTTTACTGTCCCTTTTTATCAATTTAATGCATCCTTGCTGAATAAAAGTATTCATTTATTTGTAAAAATGTAAAAAATCTTACTGACCCCAAATTTTGAATGATATACAGTCGTGGCCAAAAGTATTGGCAGTGACATAAATTTTGTGTTTTGCAAAATTTGCTACTTAAGCTGTTGTGGTGTTCATTCACATTGTTTC